AAAAAGATGTTTGTAATATTTATGAGACATACATCACAATAATCTTGCTTTTAGTGTCATTATTACCTGGCACCTTCACACCATAGACATTAGCCTCTTCAACAAAGTCAACTGCGAGCAGGTGGTCAGCCACCTCCGTGGTTGCCACATTTTCTCCTTTCCACCTGTAACACATATAATACCACAATGTCTGTAATTCTGAAATGATATATCTCAAAATGAGGGTTTTACTGTTTTACTTATTTTTTAAATCTAGTTTCACAGACAGTGTTACATCTATGTCAGTTTTTTATTGCAGAATAAAGTGTTTCATGTCTACTTTAAGACAAAAAACACTCTCTGGTATTCCTTGTCCTGACCTTTCACCCAGATTGTCAAATTCATTTATTATGTTTCACAGACCTGAAAGTGTCTCCAATGCGGTCTTGAAAGAAGAGAAATCCCTCGTCGTCAATCTTTAGAAGGTCGCCACTGTTAAAGTACATGTCGCCCTTCTCGAACACATCTCTTAGCTTCTTCTTGTCTGTCTGCTGCTTGTCCTTGGCATAGCCACTGAAGGGTGTTCTTTTTCCAATCTTTGCCACAAGCAGACCAGTTTCTCCTGCGAGTAAAAGTAACAGTATACGTTTAAATAGCAGCTTAAAAGTCAAGGCGGCACCTTAAGAGACAGGCTCACCTCTTGGGACTTCAACACAAAATCCTCTAGAGTCTCTGACTGGCTCCTCTTTTTCTGTGTCAAACCTTATGAGGGCATATTTGCATGCCATCTGAAACAGTTTACAGATACATTGAAGAGAAAAAGGAGTATATAGGCTGTATACACCAGCAAACATTTGAAAAAAACAAAAACAAGAAAAGTCATGTGAAAAAGAAATTTTACCCACTCTTCACTTCAAAGATTTTATGCATCAAGACAAAATAAAATATATTAATCTGGTTTGGAATAGGTTTTACAATCAAGTAAATACGACATCAGATGAGTAACAACACACAAGATGTTACATTGTCATTATCTTTTTAACAAAGATTCAGCCAAAATGCGGAAGCAGTGTGTGGAAAAAGGAAGCAGACATTTCTGCAGTTTGCTGGTCTGGAGCACTTAAGTGTTGTGTTAACAGGATGCCATTAGGAAAGACATCAGCAGTGATCTTATAGAAGCAATTTTGGTTGCACATCAGTCTGGGAAGGGTTACGAGGCAACTTCCCAAAAATCAGAAATCCATCATTCTGCAGTAAGAAGATTATTCACAAGTGGCAAAAGATCAAAACAGTTTTCAGTCTTCCCAGGAGTAGACGTTTAAGTAAAATCAACTCAAGCTCAGACTTAATGTTTAGAGCAACTACAGAAAAAAAAAAGTTGGAATGGCCAAGTCAAAATCCAGACCTGAACTTCACTGAAATGCTGTGATTGGACCCTAATAGATCAATGCATAAATGAATGCTCCCAAACCTCAACAGCCTAGAATGACGTTGTAAAAAAGAGTGGACTAATTATCTTTAGAATTGAAAGAGGGTGTGCTTTCTTTTTCACATGGTTATATCTCCCAATCTACATCTTACTTTGTAGAGAAAATGTTCTCTGCCCATAGCTCCAATTTTCCCACCATAGTTGATAAAGCCAACATTCCCTTCAGTTGCTCCGTAGCATTCACGGATACAAATGTTCCCAAATCGCTCCAGGAACTCAACCCAGGTGTCTTCCCTTATTCCGTTCCCTACGGCCAGTCGGACCTTATGATCCTTGTCATTGTCTCTCTAAAAGAAGGCCAAAGGAGAGGTGAGAACATAAACAATGACCATAAGAAACAATGCTCCTGACTGAAGCAGGTTGGTAGAAATCATTAAAACAGTTTGAGCTTCTAATGCATATCCCAATATCGTCATTAGTAAATTATGACCTTAAACTCGTCAAAGGAGCTTGCAAAGAAAAGCGTCTGGACTTCTTTAAGTTGCTTGAAGACGTTTCACCTCTCATCCGAGAAGCTTCTTCAGTTCTTCTCAGATGAGAGGTGAAACGTCTTCAAGTAACTTAAAGAAGTCCAGACGCTTTTCTTTGCAAGCTCCTTTGACTACGATGACCTGGATGACTGACAACCTTCACAGACACCTTAAACTTTCGTTTACCTTTGGTGTGTTGCAGAGGTAGCGCATGACCTCGCCTATGTACTGGATGACAGTCACATTGTACTTTCTACAGTCATTCCAAAAGTTGGAGGCAGAGAACTTGCTTCTCAAAACAACAGTGGTGCCTAAAAATGGAAAGATACAGAGTTCAGCAAATATGCCGCTTCATGCTAAGAGTTCAGTGTTGTAAACTCTGCAAGGCGAACTTTAGGACTTCAAAGTACAAACTATAGAAGCGGGTGTAGTTTGAGGTCATGTATATGTTGGTTTAACCTGCAATAAATTCAGGTGAAATCTTGATTTGTGGTTTTATTTTTAGGTAATGTTTTATGTATTACCTTTTTCTATAGCTCCACAAAGTCCCATAAGAAAGCCAGCACTGTGATACAGAGGCAGATATATGTAGACAATATCGTCTGAGCGCACACCAGCAAAGGTCAGGGCAAAAGCTGGCATCCATACCCTCTCATGGTTAATCACAGCTGCTTTTGGAAGCCCTATAAGAGCAGATGTAGTACAGTTTTATTGTCATCCTTTTACTCAACCTCTGCATGATAATTGTATGAACATAGATTAGAAGTCAAGGCCAGATAAGCCCTCGAGGTTACCTGTGGTTCCTGATGTGTAGATGTACACCGCAGGACTCTTGATGTTAATGCTGGCCCTGAGCTGACGGGACAGGGGCTCGTCTGACTCCATCTGAATTTTGTCAGAGAGGCTTTCGATGCCGTCCACATGACAGTGCTCACGGAGGATAAACACAAGGATACCCTGCTGCTTCAAAGTGGGCAGCACCTCCTCTATTGCTCCTTGAAGGTCTGAGAGCGAGGGAGGTAAAAAGAAAAGAGGTGCTGATCAGTCATTACAGGGTTACATAAATGTGTGTTTAATAAACAGTCGATCTATTTGATGGTGAAATTAATAAGATATACCCATGCAACTTTAGTGCAGTCCAAACCTCCCAGATTAAAAAAAAATAGTCAGAGATACAAAAAGATCTTTTTAAATGAATTAGACAATATGACCACGTGATATTAAAAAACGAAAGATATGCGCACGTTTAAAGTTAATTTCATTAAAACAAACCCCAACAGCTTACTGCAGTATTTACGCAGCTTACCAGCGCCAGCGATCAGGACTTTGGCTTCACAGCAGGAGAAACAGTGCAGCAGGGATTTGGATCTTATGTTGACGTTGAGGAAGGACGCTGTGCATCCCAGCTTGGACAGTGCGAGCCACATCCATACAAACCACGGCTCGTTGCCCAAGAAGAGGGCTACCGTGTCCCCCTGCTTGAGGTGGGCATGCGTTAACAGAGCCCTGGCCACTTTGTTGCTTTCTCTGTCGGCTTGGCTGTACGTGTAGGAGCTTTCCTCGTAAACTATGAACTTCTTATGCGGATGCTCCGCCACTTTGTCTAGAAAACGATCTAAAATACTGTAAAACTTTTTCTTGATTCTACTCATGCGTATACCGACATAAATGGAAATAAATGTGTATGTTAAATCTTTCAAAAAATAAGGATTCCGGAAGTAAATCAGTAAGGGCAAGACTGCCAACGCGGTGCACAAAATATATGCAATCATTTTTGTTTTTTAAAAAAAGACGAATATGTCAGACCTGCTGCTGGATTCATACATCACCTTTCAACGGACTCCAGCCCTTGGATCATTTCCGTTTACGCCTCCTGAACTTTGAACGAGTTTGAGAGTTCGAGGGGTTAAAATGGGACGACACCCCCCTTTGCCTGCTGTGATTTGTGAGTCTCTTTCTTAACGTTTTTCCTTTTTCTTTCTTTTTTTCTTCTACTTTTTTGGCTGGGGAGGAATCACATGAACTCGATGTAGCAGTAGTAAAGTATTTAAAAAAAACTGAGGAATAGAATTTTTAAATACATATTTTTTTTAATTATACATATATATATATATATCAACTGACCGCGGCACACCTGCACCAGGGTAAACCTCCGCCTACCGTAGTCCTGCTTTACA